TTTTCAGGCATAATGATGCCATTTATTGGTTTACAGGGCTTGAGAAGGAAATCAGCTACTTCTGACAAATTTTTCTTAACCACTGCATTTAACTTTCAACCTTGATGTAGCACTAGCTAATAATTTTATTAAGCACATCATTGCTGTTTTTTGGACTTTTGATGTAAAACCTTGGAGTTTCCAGCTGAAAACCTTCAGCCTCACCCCCTCATTAAGTATGCAGAAAGTATGTTTAGCCGATTATCTCTGTAGTTGTTCATTCAAATTTAGTACTTTTATTTTTCAAAAAAAGTAAATTTGCATACCTACCTGCTGATACCAGACAACAATCGGAATTGCACTGCTAACAGACTTTTAAAAAATATTACCATTATCCAACTACAATGAGCCAATAGGTAAATTTCTCATCCCTGGATCAAGTGAAGAACAACTTTGCCTAGACAGCTTTTGGCTTTTCTAGCATTGTGGTATCAGTTCATGGACTGCTATCGCATTATAGTATTAAAGAATAATTATTTTAGGTAACAAAAACAATTACAACATTATAAAAAGAACACAAAAATGCAAGTTTATGTACAGTGTCCTAATTTTGAAAGACAGCAAGCCTATAAACATGAAAAGAAATGTAAATAGGGAAAATGTATAATTGACCTCACTTGAATGCAAGACTCATTGATGACCTCAGTATCTCCTAAGCTTGATGCATCAAGAAAATGGTGACACTAAAGAGATAGAGAAACAAAAAGAGGAAAGAGAGAAAGGTGTACAGCACTGAATTGTTATTACAAAGGTAATAGTAATGGCAATGGTAACTGTATTGCCATCTGTGCTCAGAAGGCAATGTCATTGTTAATGGGTTTATCTGAGACATAATGAAGAATACATGTATAGTCAGTGACATAGGCCTGTGACAATTACCATTACAGTTACTCGGTAATCAATTGACTCAAATACATGTACATGTACACAACATACCACTTACCATTGCATTAGTGCATATTAATCTCAACACATCCTTTTCTCTAAGTAATAAGTTAATGTCCATGGAACAAACTGTTTATTGATTATGAGTAGTTAACGGCACTAAAAGAGAGATAAAAGAGATGGTAATTTTAAGTAATTTTGATGTTTAAACATTGTACTTGTTCAAATTGGACATGCTCTGAATATTCTTAGCATTTTG